GGTTGCAGATTTAGTTCCAGGTTGGGGTGCATTCAAGAGGCAAACGACTGATGTTTCTCTCCCTCTCCTTTCCCCTCACTCTAACAATAAATAAATAAATAAAATCTTTTAAAAATTTCAATGTAGTTCAGATTAAGAAGGGATGAAAAAAGAAAGTAAAAAACGTATCTCAATAGATGCAGGAAAAGTATGTGACAAAATCTTGCATCTGTCCATGATTTAAAAAGAAAAAAGAAAACCTAAACCTTATTAAAACAGTATGTAAAAAGTAATCCCATAATTTAATAAGTACTAGAAAAAATAGAATATATCATATTTAAGAGTGAAATGTGAGACTGGGAACAAGACAAGAATGCCTGCCATCACCATTTCTATTAGCGTTACACTGGAGATATATTAGGCAATACAGTAATTCAAGAAAAAGAAATAAAAGATATACTTTTGGAATTAAAGAAGCAGCCACATCGAGACTGGTAGGAGAGGCGAAGACACCAAAGGGACTGGTCTCACACCCACATGTAGCAGATAAAAACTGGGAGAGATATTTCAGCTGCAAAGGTACCCCCTGAGGATTGAGGGGTCCCAGCCCCACACCAGGCCTCCCAGTTCAGGGTTCCAGTGCCCACAAGAAGAGTCCCCATAACTTCTGGCTGTAAAAACCAGCAGGGGTTGAGACTGAGGAAGATGGAGGGCTTCTGGAGTCCCAGGCAGTTCCCCTTAAAGGGCCCATGAACCGACTTTTCAGACTCACCCCCTCTGAGCTCCAGCAATGGGGCAGCAGCTTAAAAAGGATCAGAGACATATGGGAATGAAATGAACTGCCTGGAATCAGGGCATAAACTAGGGGGCAGCTATCTCTCAGACAGAAGTGCTAGCAGAAGCCAATGTTCCTTTGATGGTGAGTACCATATCTGAAACTCCATTAACCTGCTCACACTGCTTTCCAGGCCCTGGTGATTCCCTGAGGCCCTGCCCTACTCAACTTTAGGGTTCACCAAGCTGTTTCCAGTAGTTTTTCCATACAAATGGTCTATCTCGGCTCATGCTTCAGATTTTCCTACAATCTCTCAATAAGCACCATCTGGCCTCAGCGTGCCCTGTATCTCTCACTAAGTGGTCCCAGCTGTGGCTCTAGCAACAATCAGCCTTGGTTCACAGGCTGGTCTTGCTGGGCATCTCCAAGCCCAACACAAGTAGCAGCAATCTGCAGATTATTTTGCAGGTCATGCCAGATGGCCTTGGGCAGAACACAGGCAGCAGCTGACCTTGGTTTGTACCTCCCAGAAGACCCCAGAGCCAGTGTACCCTGTGGACAGCTACAGACCATGTAGCAGCATCACGATCCAACCACCTCCACAAGTAACACGTTCAAGAGGGCAAACTAAGTGGGCACCAGAGCCCTGCTGAAGTAAGTCCAGCTCTTTGGTGTGGGCCCCTGCACAGCTGATCCTCCACGGTGGTTGGACATCAGTGGTCGGTGGTCAAAGCCAGTCTTGCAACTGATCAACCGGGAGGTAAATCCTTCCCACTGAGATGCCAACAGCAATCAAGGCTCATCTACAAGAGGAGGGTATGCACAACCCATAGGGGAGGCATACCTCAAGTACTTGAATGATCAGGAAGGCTGTGCCACTGGACCCTATTGAACACTTACTATATTAGGCCACCCTACCAAGCCTGGCAGATATAGTAGCAGCTCTACCTAATATATAGAAACAAACACCGGGAGGCTGCCAAAATGAGACAAAGAAACATGGCCCAAATGAAAAGACAGGACAAAACTCCAAGAAAAGAACTAAGAAAATGGAGACAAGCAATCTACTAGATGCAAAGTCCAAAGCAATGGTTATAGGATGCTCAATAAAATTAATGAGCATTTCAATAGCATAAAAAAGGACCAGTCAGAAATGAAGGATACACTAACTGAAATGAAGACTAATTTATGGGGAATCAACAGTAGAGAAGAGGAAGCCTAGAATCAAATCAGCAATTTGGAATATAAAGAAGTAAAAAACACCCATCAGAACAGCAAAAAGGAAAAAAGTCCAAAAATCGAGTATAGTATAGGAGCCTCTGGGACTTCATCTGTGCCAACATTCGCATGATGGGGGTACATGAAGAAGAGAGAGAGCAAAAAGTTGAAAACCTGTTTGAAAAAAATAATAAACTTCCTAACTTGGTGAAAGAAATAGACATACAACTCCAGGAAGGGCAGAGTCCCAAAAAAGATGAACCCAAAGAGGCCCACACCAAGATATATCGTAATTAAAATGCAGAAGGTTAAAGACAGAGAATCTTAAAAGCAGCAAGAGAAAAGCAGTTAGTTATCTACATGGGAGCTGATTTCTCAATTAAAACTTTGCAGGCCAGAAGGGATGGCAAGAAGTATTCAAAGTGATGAAAAGCAAGGACTTACATCCAAGATTACTCTACCCAGCAAAGCTGACATTTGAAATCAAAGAACAAAGAGCTTCCTAGAGACAGACACACACACACACACACACACACACACACACACACGAAAGTTCACGACCACCAGACAAGTATTATATGAAATGTTAAAGGGTCTTCTTTAAGAAGAAAAAAAAAACATTAAAAACAGGAACAATAAAATGGCAGTAAATACACATCTAACAACAATTGAATCTAAAAAACCAAATAAACAAGCAGAACAGAAAGAGACTCACAGATAGAACATTTTGACAACTGCCAGATGTGAAGGAGTGTGGGGGGGGATGAGTTGTTACAGAATAGTCTTGGGGATGTAAAATACAGCATCGTCAATATAGTTCATAATAGTCTAATAACTATGTATGGTGTTAGATGGGTGTGAGATTTATCTGGATGGTCATTTAGTATGTTATGTGATGTCTAATCACTAAAGTATACACCTAAAACTAATTTAATAATGTCCATCAACTAAAATTGAAAAATTGATTAAAAAAAAATCTTTGCTAACGGCCTACTGAAGGGCAACCACTCTCCCAAGTGTAGGAAATAGAGTAATGAGCAAAAACGACACACCAAAAAAAAAAATCCCTGCTCTTACGAGGTTTATATACTAAGACAGACAAATAAATATTGCTTGTAACAGACAGTTTAATTTTTACAAAGAAAAATAAAACGGGAAAGGGGAAGTGGAAGGAGGGGTTGTCTCAATGCTTACAGAACCATAAAGAGGTAGATTGTAGGCAAAGAAGAGATGGCACTGGACTTCTTATGGTGACTGACATAAACAGGGCTAAAAGGCATAATGACAACTGCCTTGATGATCTCAAGGTAGTTAGTTGTAATAGTGACGCAAGTGTTGGGGAAAAAGGCAGCCTAGGGGACATTCCAGAGATGCAGAGTTCTGGGGCCTCTCCTCTACACCTGCCGATGATGGCATAAAAGCCAAGAGGAATAGCTTTATCTGTACTACTTAGAGCTTTTGGACACCCTCTTAACTCCAGTAGAAAGGTGGACTCCATAGTAATATTGGTGTTACGTGAAAAAAGTCTGTTTTCCAATTCCTACCAGTCAGTTAATGGTATGTAGACAGAAGTTGTATCTTTACCACTATATTCCCAGAATCTAGACAAGTGCCTGGCACACAACAGACACTGTATATATATTGTTGAAGGAATAAATGAATGAGATATTGTATCTAAAGGCATAATATCCCTACATTATCAAGGTAAAGATTTTAAATGTATTCATATAAAAATAAGCAAGTAGGGTGCCCCACAAAACAGCTTTAATTGTTTCTAAATTAACTATTACATTATGAAGTCTTAAAGAAAATCATATCTTGTAAATTTGCAAAATTTAAAAATATATACTTAGAAATTTTTTAAATAAAAGTTATAATACATACTTAACTATAAGTCCGGATATATAGTCTTTTCAAGTTATTTTAGTATGTTGTTTACTGACATGTTTATTTAAAGAAATAGTAATATTTTATCCTTCAAAGTTCCTCAATATTTCTATTGTATCACCTTGCTACCGCATTCAATGAAAAATATGTAGATAATATTTTCAAGCAGTGATGTGTAAACCAGTTTAACAAATGTCACTCAGAGCCACTATTTAGCCCTCTGTGTATATAGATCACAGATAACCACTACTTTAAAGGAGTGGTCCCCAACCTTTTTGGCACCAGAGACCAGTTTCATGGAAGACAATTTTTCCATGGACTGGGGATTGAAGGGGGATGGCTTTGAGATGATTTAAGCACGGTGCATTCAAGCTCATCTCCTGCTGTGCGGCCTGGTTCCTAATAGGCCACAGACTGATACAAGTCCTTGGCATGGGGGTTAAGGACCCTCACTTTAAAGTACTGGGTTAGCCAAAAAGTTGGTTTGCTTTTTTCCCCTATAACGGTGCTAGTGGCACTTAGTTGCCTTTAATTTCATTTGAAACAATTTTGTTAAGATTGTATTGTTAAAGCTGTCATATCAGCCTGCATTTAAAAAAAAAAACAAAAAACTTACCAAATTAGTGAATTTTTGTGTAGCCATTTAATATTGAAGATGGAAAAAAATATGCAACATCTTCAGCATATTATGCTTTATTATTTCAAGAAAGGTAAAAACACAACTAAAACGCAAAAAAAAGATTTGTGCAGTGTATGGAGAAGGTGCTGTGATTGACTGAACAGATCAAAAGTTTCGTGCTGGAGATTTCTCGCTGGGCAATGATGCTCCATGGTCAGGTAGACCAGTTGAAGTTGACAGCAATCAAATAGAGACATTAACTGAGAACGATCAATGTTATACCATGCAGGAGATAGCCGACATACTCAAAATATCCAGTTCACTAAAGTTAGTGGTGAAAATGAAAATGTCTTTTATTTTATGGAAAGATCCACACGAACTTCTTGGGCAACCCAATATAACTAAAATATATTTTTAACCACTGTACCTGATAGCTTTATAACCAAAATATTTTTAATTACTTATATTCTAAAATTTATCTTGTAATAAATTTTTGTTAAATGACAAAAAAAAAATACATACCTTTCTCTTACAAAATCTGCTAGTTCTTTTGTTGATATCTGTCCATGTTTCATATTATGGTAAAGGACATCAAAGCCGCTATTTTTTTCCCCCTACAATTTAAAAAGATTTTTAATGTAACAAAAAAATAATAATGAGAGATAGAAATAAAGATGAAAATGACAAGAATAACCCTACATTAACTAATATGCAATTCTGATGTTCAGTCAGGTGAACCGTCTTTCCCAGATATGACTACTGCTGCTCAGATAAGACTTTAAACTGTATCAAAGAAATACTGTAAGGTTTCATAAAGTTTATAATTCATTACATATGCAATCATATATATATGTATACTCTATAATCATTCAGAAGGGGTATATTAATGAAACTAAGTCTGAAATTTTAAGGAATATTATGCAGCATAATTTTTCTAAACATGGACCTCTTTAAATACATTACCAAATACCAATTCAATTCCTTGAGCATGCATTAAGGGATTCCTGATTATTTAACTCAACAACTTTCAACCAGCCTGCCATAACAAACTGGTATGTCGCAAGAACTCCTAAAATATGCAATACCTGACTATTTAGTCAGGGGCACTGACCTCTTTTCCCTTAGATTGTGAAATTAAGAAAATGACCAAGAACCAACACCAACAATAGCCATCCAGTGTGAATGAATCAAAATTATACCTATTTTTTATTGTCAAATCAGCAAAAAATATATACTGTGCCACCAAATTTTAGTAGTTTGACTGCCATGTGGTGAAAAAGGTTGATAATAGATGATTTAACTCAAAAGTCTGTGCTTTAAAATTACTAAATCTTGACTTCTGAGTAAAGACAACATATTACAAAGCTTATAAGTATTGAATACCACAAGATACTTTATAATTGCTAATGTCTCTCAGTAAACTTAAGCAATCTGAGAAGTGAGAAAGTAGATAAAATTTTAACAAGAGCAGTAGCAGTCTACTGGCTAGTCCTCAACTAATGGGTAATTAACAGAACCAGACTACTAGATAGTACTACAAAACCTTTACACAACACTACAAAACCTTTACTGTTATTTAATCCAAAAATGCTAAATCAGCAAATCATAGCCAAAAAAAAAAACCCATTAGAAACATCCATGTTACAGGTGAAATATTGGGTTGGTCAGAAAGTTCATTTAGGTTTTTCCTGTACAATGGCTCTAGTAGCACTTAGTTGTCTTTAACTTCATTTGAAACAATTTTGTTAGACTGTATTGTGATAACTGTCATATGAGCATGCATTTTTTAAAAACTTATCTCAATTGGTGAATTGGTGCAATCATTTTAATGTTGAAGATGGAAGAAGATATGCAACATTTTTAGCATACTCAGCTTTATTACTTCAAGAAAGAAAAAATGCAACTGAAACGCAAAAAAAGATTTGTGCAGTGTATGGAGAAGGTGCTGTGACTGATCAAATGTGTCAAAAGTAGTTTACAAAGTTCTTTGGTACTATTGACATTTTAGCCAAATAATTCTTTGCAGTGGGGCTGTCTTATGCAATGGAAGATGTTTAGCAGTAGCCATGGCCTCTATGCACTAGAAGCCAGTAGCAGGAGATAGCCAACAAACTCAAAATATCTAAAAAAAATTAAAGCTATTGGTGAAAATGGTTAGTCTTTTATTTTATGGAAAAAACTAAATGGACTTTTTGGCTAGACCAATAAAAGGCTATCAATAAACCAAGCTCAACAACTCTCTTCAGTGAGCAGTTTTATTTTTCTTCAATGAAAATAAAATAATGAAGAATTCAGTACATCCACTGGAAATAAAAAGCAATACTGTAAGACAAGTGTTAAACAATCTGAAGCCTAATTTTTCCAAAGTCTGATAAAAACAGGAAACATAGAAACTTCCAGTTATGTTGAAGTGATCCCTTATAAAGTTGTCAGATAATATACTAAGTAATTAGTTTTCCACACATACAACAATTTAAAATGTTTTATTTATAAAGAAATAGTACAAATATCCTTAGCATTTTGAACATCAATTTCCATTTTTCAGAAATATAATATAAAACTATAGTCTCTTACGAATCTAAAACATATCCATTTGGCTTCTACAATTTTTCATGTTTAAGATGAAGAAAAAATTTATTATCTACCTTTTGTTTTTATTTTCCCTGGGTTTTTCACTCCAGGCAAAGCAAAAATATTTTTTGAGGCAACCATTACTTATTAGTCTATAGCGAGCAAAATAACATCATGCAGGTAAGTAAATAAAATTACAGACAAATAATAGCAGGCTGAAACCTCTGAGGGCTTCATTCCATTACTTGAAATATAATATAGAAACTATAAAGGATCAGACAACCCACCAATTCCAATAATATGAACCCTCAAAAAGAAACAAACCTAAAATCTAAAATCGTACAATCCAAAGTCTAAAGCTCTCATGCCTGAAAGTTCTCACCTGACAACACCTACTAGTTCTCATCTGCTCATAATTCTAACAAGTCCAGGTTACCTGGGTTCCCAATGTGCATTGCGCATAGTTAAAGGGCAAACTGGAAAAGAGCTAGGAATGAGAGGCTATGCAAACTAGCAAGAAGACCATTAGAAGAAGATAATCTTTACCAGGATTACAAGGGAAAGAACAAAAAAGAAAAAAAATTTTTAAGGAGACAACAAGTTGGAGACCATCTTGTAATTAGTACAATAAGGTCCTGAGAATGTTATATCACTGTTACAGTACTTTAAATATTAAGTAATCAAAAGAAGAGGCTAAACTGTATTTAGAAATATGGGTTTTCATTAAGAAGTTTTTGAAGAAGTAAGCTCTTTATTTGGGATGTTCAGATACCCCAACAGCATATTACTTAAAATTCCCAATACAGGGGATAAGGTTTATTAACTTGTTTACTCTACAGTATAACATTACTATAGTAACAGTAACATAATATACCTTAGGAAAAAGTACTAGCTACTCCATCCCTCAAGTCTTCACTTGGAAAGTCATCCTAATAAGGACGTGATGCAAAAGAAGCCTGACTCAAAAGGCACTAAGGACTTTTAAACACCCTGCAAGATACAAATCCATTTGTCATTGCTACCTATTTGAGATTTATACATTTACTGAAATCAAAAAACTGTAATGAGTCTGACTCTAGGCACCATTTTTTTAAACAATTTCACAAACCTATTAACACAAATATTTATTAATCATAACTTATTCTTTGGTACAAAGCAAAAAAGTAATACCTCAAATGGCTCTTAAAAAATTCAAAGTCAAGGTGTCTAACAAAGAACCCAGGTTTTATTGTCACCTTATCAAAAACTTACTTTATAGCCTTGAAAAGGTGTACTAAATATACACATATTTCAGATATATGTAAAAAAATACAGTAGGAGACTGAGCAATGGAACTCAGATCTAGACCTAGCTTCAGTGTTGCCACTTACACAAAATATTGGAAATTCTGGGAAAATACGAAAAGAGACCACTATTGAAACTGATGATCATAACTCATTATAATTCTGCCACCACTTTAAGATCACCTAGTACTTTTTTAACTACAAGTACCTCCAAGCAGGTTCTATAACTTTTATAGTAGCCACCAGCCTTTAGAGTAGATGGTTCTAATACAAAGAAAAGTAACATAATAATAAATATTTCTGAATTACATATTCATTTTATCACACTAGACCTTAAAATGGATATGTTCCTATTATTTTTCAACATACAAAAAAATTTTTTTTTCTTAGCATATTCCTTAACTTAAGCAAGGAGAACTTGCTCTTCCTTGGCTAACTAAAAATACACAAAGGTACAAATAACATGACAACAGATCTTATTATCAAATACAATTATGACTAAAGAAGTCTTCTGGTGTTCAATGTTTTACTAAATCTGTAAATGTTAATGCCCTTTGATTCAGAAATTCCATTTTTAAAACTCTGTATCACAAACACACACATACAAAAAAACATGGAAGATTACTCACTGCAATGCTGTTTGGAAGTAAAAAAATTATAAACAATTCAAAAATATCCACTAACGTCACTGTTTAAATAAATGACAGTACATCCTACAATGAAAGTGTTTTTTAAAAGACTACAGCAAGAAAAAACTTGCAGATTTTAAGTATTAATTTTAAAAATCTACCCAGATATAGTCAGTATAAAAAACAGCAAGATACAGCAGCCAAAAATAACCTACGTTAGGAACAACCTAAATGTCCATCAACTGGTAAATAGATCAACAAAATGAGGTGTAGCCATAAAATGTAATACAATTCAGCAATAAAAAGGAACAAACACTGACACATGCTACTTTATGAACCTCATAAACATTTTACTAAGCAAAAGAAGCCAGACACAAGAGACTACATTCTGTATGATTATATGAAATGTCCAGAATAGTGAAATCTATATAGAAAGTAGATTAGTGGCTGCCTACAACTAAACGTGGAAAAGAGCATTAGCTGTGTAAAAGGATGAGGGATCTAATTATTCCGAGAATAAAAATATTCTAAAACTGATTTATGGTGATGGTTGCACCACTCCATAAAGTTACTAAAAACCATTAAGTTGTACCCTTAAAATGGGTAGACTCTATGACAAAATATATGCTTCGATAAGGTTGTTTAAAAAAAAGAAAGGAAGAAAAAGAAAAGTTGGGAGATTCCCTTTTTCACTTGGAGAGCAGTTTTGCTTGGTTTTGTCTAAACAGATTGGTTACTGCTCCCTTAATTTCTGAAGGTTGGTATCTTCCTAATAAGAGAAATATATTTTTATATTTTTATTTTGAAATAATTATAGATTTATAGGAAATTGCTGAAAAATGTACAGGGAGGTTCCATATAAAAGCAAGATTTTTTCTTTTTTCTTTTTTCCAGTTGAATGGTCAAATCATATTTACTTAGAAAGGTCAGCCCTCCCTAACAGTTGGATATGGTTGCTATTTATGTTCATTGGTAACAGATGACTGCAGAATTCATAATGGCCCATTCTTCTATGGAGGCCTGATATTGTTGGGGGTAAGGTAAAAAAAATTAAATTGAATTAAAAAGGAAAGTGGAAAACAGAAACCTAGTAGGATTTCATTTTCAATGAAAAAAAAATGTTGCATATAT